TAGGGTGTGGGTGTGTATAGGATGTGTGTGTGTCCATGTGGGTGGGGGTGTGTGTGTAGGGTGTGGGTGTGCATGTGGGTGAGGGGAGTATGTGTGTGGGGGGCATGTGGATGTGCATGGGTGTGTGTGTGTAGGATGTGTGTGTGTCTATGTGGGTGGGGGTTTGTATAAGAGTGTGGGTGACATGGGTGGGGGGAGTGTGTGTGGGTGTGTGTGTGCACATGCATATTTAGAGAGACAGACCAGTAGTAGATAACCAAGATGTGTGTTTAATAAGCATCCCTCCATTGCACACGTGAGGTGCTTGCTCATCAGCCAGAACTCCTCTTTAGGCATTACTGTATAGACTTGAGCTGTTTTAGAAATCAGAAATTGGAGGTCATCTCTGAACGAATCACAGGCAGTGCTTCTCAGGGTGGGGCTCAGGGGGTCCCCTGAAGGGCTTGCCAGCCTGGCCCTGCTCCCCACGTGGCCCACAGTTCAGCGGAGCACTGCGTGCTGGAAAGCAGTGTGGTGTGGTCATTACCAGAGGCACCACATCTGGCCAGCCAGGCGCGCCCGTTGCAACTTCTCCCTTTGTGTTTCCGTGCAGAGTGACCCTGAGTTTGTGCAGTGGAAAAAGGAGCTGACCGAGACATTTATGGAGGCTCAGCGACTCCTGCGCCGCGCCCCCAAGTTCCTCAACAAGTCCCGGTCCAGCGTGGTTGAGCTCTCCAAGCCTCCCCTCTGTCACAGGAATAGCAATGGCCTCTGACACCCGGGACAGGAGGGTCCTGGGGAGACGGGGCCTCGAGGAAGCCCGTACCGGGGGTTTTCCGCCCTTGAGAGGGAGTCTTTTGGAGAAGTCCGGGGGTCAGAGGTTCGGTCCCCTTGTCCCTGGGGCCCTTCCACGGCTGGGACGACCCAGGACGCCAAGGTGCTCCTAATAGGAGCTGTGACCGTGGTCCGGCCCAGGCCGGCCTCCCTGCCCTTCTGAGTGCCTCCTGCGCATGACATCTGTCCACGCTCAAAACTACTGAAGAAACAAACGAAAGTTCTTTCCCTTTCTTACACACCCGTTTGGGTAGACGTGAACCTAGAACTTGAAATGATTCCTCCTTATCACTTCAGTTTGTATGTCTGATAGCAAACATATCTTAGACTTGCCAAGATGGAGTGCAGCCCTCTGCAGCGGCGGGTGCCAGATGGCCAGAGCGCTGCCCTGTGTCCTCTGCTGGGCTCACACGTGTCTGCTCCACGCTCCTGGGGGTCAGCACATGTTTCTGCCGTGCACTTCAGCACCGACCGACTTCTTGATGCCCCGCCTGGCGAGCTGAAGATGCTTTCTGAGAAGCTTGCCCTTCCCGCCAGGTGTGCGGCACCACCCAGGTACCTGCCTGCCTCTGACAGGGAACAGAGGGAGCGTGCCCTCAGAGGACTTGGGAGTCGCTCATGACTGACGGCGTTCAACAGTGGGCCATTGGAAGGCTTCACAGGGATTCCGAAGGACAGGCAGTGGGGTTTTAACTTTCAGGGCAACAGTGGTTTTCAAAAATCTTCAAATAAATCGCACTTTCACGTGTCTGGGTGCGCACGGACGCTTGGGGGTGAGTCTGTCTTGGGCTCCAACAATGAGCAGTTATAGGACAGGGTCATTCTGGTTCCTTCTGCCTGCCCTCGGAACACATATCCGTAATGGATGTGTAAAGGAAGGAAAGAATTCCTCTGTTTCACATTGTAGTATAATTTAAAATGAATTTTATTGACAAAAGAATGCTGAAGAATGAATGTGTTGAAATGAGTTAACTGTGTGTGTGGACTTCCGTGCCATCCTTCACCCGTCATTAGTGAATGGTACTTGGCCCCGGGTGGGTCGTCCCACGCTGTGACGGCAGTGGGGCGGGAAGGCTTCCTGCCTAATCCCAGGGGCTTCTCTTCTCCCCCACGGTTCTCCCACGATGCGTTCTGTGCCCTTTTCACGCCCCAAATAAGTGCTGGGCTGTGCTGGGCTATATGAACAGTGTGTTTCCCAGTGAAGTCCTGTCACCAGACTGAAAATAATAACAATAATTTTTGAAGTCCACATATTTGTCTTATTCTTAGTGCAATCTTGTGTGTTTCTAAGCTAACTACTAACAGTATAAATAACATCATCATTATCTGCATCCTGCCCTCGATATTTTTAGTGATTCCAGATCTCCGTGCACTGTGTTCATTGGGAAAGTGAGTACTTCTTAATGAAATTATATTTTGAGAGTTTGGAAGATGATTGCTGAGAGTTTTTTATTTCTTAGGGGTCACTTTGGAAAAGAAATGTGGAGGTCCACTATCCATCTCAACTACCAGTTGGGGTTTAAATCAGCGCGCATGTTCTACTCTGCTCTTTCCAGTAGGGGAGGATGGAGGCACTCTTTACATGCCTTCCCTTTTGAGCCAGGAAGAATGGTGTTCACTTCTGTTTTTTTACAAAAAAAAAACCACTAGCAGCAGAAAAATAGCTGTTCCTCCTAAAGGGTGAGCTGCCTTGCGGCTGTGGTTAATGACCACTGTCACTGCTGTCCTCAGCCTCATCGCAGGCTCCCACTGCTGAGCATTTACAGGTCGAGAATTGCTGTGCCCCAAGCCTCTGCCGGACAGAGCCAAGACCCTCCTGTTGAGAACGACGCAGACTCCTTCAGGGTCTGAGCTTAGCCTCTCCCATATCCCACCCAGGGCATTAGCCACGCCAACCCACAGCTCTTTGAAAGATACCATCTTTGGAGTAGAACCGGAGGTTAATCTGTCCTTTGGAAAGGAAACAGGAATTGGGAAATATTCTGAGAGCACTTTTGTCCCAAGCCTAATTTCAAGTGCTGGGGTCTCGTCTGGCGAGTCTGCTACCTGCACTTGTCCCCGAAGCCGTCTGATAGGGCTAGCGTCTCCGCGGCCACACGGAAGACGCCTCCGGGACCCTTCTGGGCCAGCACCTCGTGCCTGTGAGGCCAAAGAAGGTGACTGTGCTAGAGATCTGTTGCAGAAAGTTTTAAGGGTGTCACCTCGTTCCTAGATGGTTGACCCTTCAACGTGTAGACCGTGAGAAAGGACAAAATTCAGCACACGGAAGATAAAGTTGGTATTATTTTTATAAAGTTATAATGTCTTGACTTCATAAATCAAGGGAATTAATAAAGCAAAGTCTAAAAATAAAGATGACTTTAAGCTGCTCTACAATGTATATGGAAGAAATTAAAAACTTTAGCGAATCCAAGGTTATTTTTCTAAGCGAAAATATTCTGTCCGGTGCATTTGCCCCTTCATGGCATTGGGAGTCGGGCTTTTTCCCTTCTGCATCGTGTTTTAAGTATGATTTTTCAACAAAACTTCTAGAAATCAGCTGTTTTACTGCTAATGCACATGTTACGCTTCTCATGCCTCTGATTGGCCAATCCACAGACATGACAGTTTCAGAATTTGTGTGGAAATAGAGGCGCCAGATGTGGAGGAAAGCAAGCATCCTGCTCAGGAAAGCCTGTAACAACACACAACCATCTGAAGCAAGACCTAGCTTGACGTGCGATTTGAAATATGCCGTATGGATACCAGAAACAATTGTTTTGAGGCCCTCACTGGCCATTACAGAACATCCTTTACCCATTGACAGCGAGCTTTAACTCCATGAAAAAGATCAAAGGGTGGTCTTTCTCTGATGATCTGAAAAATTTCACTCGGAATTTGTAGTTGGGCCAATTCGATACAGCATCTGACTTGTCGATGGAATTGATTTTTCACATCAAGAGGAAAGATTCTCGAAGTCGGATTCTTTTTCACATGATGTAAATCTATGAAAGGTACTTTGAAATGTGCTGGGATAAGAGAAGACTGATTCTGTAGCACTTAATCATACGTTGATTTTTTTTTTTTCTCAGTGATTTTGTTCAGGGAAGTGCTTCTGGGTCATTCGGAGACGCCTGATGAATTACCTCCTCGGCACGCCTGAGGACTGACGACATTTGTGCCCAGAGAGGAGATGGGCTTCACTGGAGTCTGGGACAGGTGGTGGCTGGGGGGGCCGTGGGCTGTAGGGCGGGTGGAGTGGGTGTCTCCCATGCAAAGACAGTGGTAGAAATGGGGCAAAGGAAGGAAGGCCTTAACTTGTGAGTAAAAAGAAAAAAAAAAAAAAATCACTCCCTTTACACCAAGCACCAAGGAAATGACTGAGTTAGGGTTGGCTGATTCTTTCCCTCCTTACAACAGGAGTTGAATAGTAATGATTGTGAGACATGGTCACTTTATTTTCGATTATGGAGCCACTGGACTTAGGAATAGGCCATCAGCTGTCCATCACGGCCCTGCATGCCCTCCAGCACCCTCCAGGAAGGCGCCTGGCACCCAGAGCTCACCCCCCATCTGTGCGTGCCTCACAGCCACTGGGAGGGCCAGGCGCGGGGGCTGGGTGGCCACCTGCAGGGCCCTGTGGCTGCCACAGACCTTTGTCACACGTCCACTGGAACCGCAAGAAGGCTTCCCAGAATAGCAACACCCGGCTTGCTGTTTAATCCGTGCCCACTTCCAGAGTGAGCTTTAATAGTTGAAATTTCGAAAACATTTTTCCCTAAAGATCTAACATGATTTTCCCTTCCATGAAAGGTTGACTCCAGAGATTTGAATTCATCAATTAGTTAAATTCATACGAATATGAATTTTTTTTTCTTTTGACCCAGGCCACATTTTAAGAAGAGTTCTTTTCCTGTTGAACTAATGAAAGCTGAACTCTGGAATAATACGATTCCCTCACATTGTAATGGGCTTGAGATTTCTTTCACCCTCAAAGACTAACAGACCTGGTCTTTTATTGCCAAGGGACAGGGATGCCCTCCCCATGGTGCCCGATGCCTGGCCACTCACGGACGTGGCCAGGGAAGCATCGATCGGTAAATGCAGCACCCCAAATGTTAAATTACCTTTATTGAAACACACACATACTCACTCCAGAAAATGAGTTAACAGTACATGCATTTCATGAAAAACTTACAGGAACAAAAACTGTGTTTTAAAGTTTTAGCAACTCACATTCTTATAGTAAACTTTCCAATACCACAATCTCAAAATTATCTCTGAAAACTGGTAACTCTGCTTCCATATTTTATTCTGTCTAATATAAAACGTCTTTCATGTAAGGGTAGGGAATGGAGAACTATTTCTAACCGTGCACTCATAATTACAAAAGGACTTGAAATTTAATTCCCTGTGTCTCAGTTGATTATGTCCCATGGTGTATATATTATATGTGGTTTATAAGCTAAACACTGGCCATTTTTTAAGTTCTATTGTGAAATCGTATTTTTCTATGTTTTAACTAATTACAATAGATTTGGCTTTTTCTGAGTAACGTAAAGATTGCCGAACTACATATATATATATGAAAAAACAGAGTTCTATTTTAGCACAAAAGCATTTTATATTATTTATTGAATCCTTAATGTTTGTTTTCGTCAGAAACATTCCTTCTTTCTGCTCCTTTTTATTTGTAGAGTTTGTTATTTAAAGAAACGGCAGCCCTTTCTGTGCTTCATAAAATGAAGCGGAAATAATGCACACAGCCATGTGGGGCGAACATCCCCCCTCACTGCCATGGACCGTTTGCAACAAAAGCTTGTCGTCGGGTCTGTGCCGAGAGGCGTGTGCACTTCCTGGGCAACGTCTGACAGCACACTTGTCATGAAATACTGCTTTCATCTACCTCTTCAGAAGGCCTCCTGCTTGTTGACTGGTACCCCCAGACGCTTGCTCCCAGACTGGCTGCATTCTAAAAGAATCTCAGTAACACATTTCGGTGGGATTGCCTCTTGATGTCAGTTTTAAAGCCACGGCCCCGACTAAGCCAACAGGGCAGGTAGACATCCCTCTGGATCATTCTCCCCCTGGACCCGAGAGCTGCCCGTAGAGCATCATTTCCTACTCCCGATTGTGCCAAATCCCCGCACCCCATCTTGCCATCGCCCCGAGATTCGGCTGTTGCGCCTGAGGTATCGAGTACTAAATGGGAGGTCAGTCCTCAGCGCTGGTTACAGGGGGCCAGCCGTGTTTAAAAACCCCACTTCCAGGAGGAGGGCCTTTGAACATGACTTCCTGGCGCCCCCAACCGCATTGCTGTTGCAAAATGGTTTGGAATATGGGGTCGTAAAGGCAAATGCCCTCGTCCGTGATTAAACCTTTGCCAGAGGTCTTACTTCCGAGCGGACGGACCCTTAAGGATTTCCATGAGCTGGAATGACCAGTCCCCTGGGAGAGGGGGGTCCCTCCGCACGCTGACATTTCTCTCTGCCTGTCTTCCTCGCTGGGTAGCCGTCGGCGTGGCCACATCTTCGCTTGGCCAAGCGTCACGCCCTTGAAGAAATCCGTTTTCTGTTGTGCGTTGCCCAACAGGGTGAAGCGGCTGAATTAGATACTGTCAATCTAGATATTGTTAACCTATGAAATTACCATTTGTTTTGATCTCGCTTCGCACTGATTGTGCCAGTGGGGCTGTATAGCCCTCCCTCGGTATCCGCTTACTAGTGCACGTTTGAAGTCCTCGCCCACGGGGGACGCTGCTCCACACCTGTGATCACCCGCCCTGTGCGGGCACGTGCTGTCATTTGCTATCACCGCCTTACACGGCTATTTTGGAGCAGCAAGGCTGGTTTCCTGTGTTGATAAATTGCTTATATAAAAAATCTCAATAAAAAGGCTCTGTACAAAGATACCTATTTCGGTGTACTGTTCCCCACCATCCCCCCCTCCGCTAATTAATCTCTTCATCAAGCTGCTAAGTATCAGGAAGTGACGCCTTTTAAAGAATCCTGGCTTTGAGGATGATCCCCGCGGAGGCTGATTTTATAAAGGGGAAGGGGACCGCTGATCTGCATTCCTGCGGATTTTGTGCATTGTTGGAGCACAGCCTGCTTCACAGGCTCCGGGGTTTGGAGACCCAACTGCCTGTGCCTCGTGCGAGACATGTTGTGGGGAAAGAGCCTGTGACAGGTGGGCCCCGGGGAGACCCAGGAGGGCGTCCATCTCCTCCCCAGTTAGTCTAGACTACACCGGGCCCCCCAGCATACTCCCAGGGTGACCTTGGAGTCCCTCCGGGAAGTGCAGACCCTTCACTCTCCATTCCTGCTCCCACGGAGACGAGCTGAGAGACCCCGGAGTGCATGTCAGTTTAAACCAGAAATCCAAGGAGGTGGTGGCCCCAGGACCCCAGCTGCCCACTTGGGGGCCCACAGGTCGAGGGTAGGCTGGCTATTTCCTGTCCTGGAGCTGGAAGCCCCTCCTGTGTGGTGCTGGTTCAGGAAAGAAGGAAGGCAGGATCAACTCACGTAGCTATTTGGTTTCCCTGGAACGTACGTGTGTTTGCCAATTCGAAAACTGTTTAACAGAGTTGACAGGAGGCCGGGCTACGGAGCGGGCGGGCAGCTCCGTGGGCAGCTAGCGGGTGGCCACGGAGAGGAGCCCGTGGTCAGATGCGCCACATAACCAAGAGCTGCTCCCCAGAGCTGCTGGAAGCCTGTTCCTCCTCGGGGCCTGGAAGGAGGGGTTAGTGCTGGGCACCCCACGCCCAGCAGGCCTCTCTGGGCAACCCGTTTGCTTTGCCATTTTCTCACCTCTGATTTACGGGAGTTGGATGAGATGAGCCCGACCGACCATTCCAGCCAAAATATCCTCCAGGTTTCCCACGAAGGGTAAATGTGAGGGGCATAGGCAGGACTTGCAAGCAAAAACGAAGTGCCCCCCAGATCCCACGGTTTCTTCCGCGTCGCCTCACGGATACCCGCTACCCTCCCCTCTCAACCTTTCGTTCCCAGCCTTCCTTCCCAGTCCGGCCCTGATGTGCACGGCGTGGACTTCCTGGCAGCAAGATGGGTGAGGACAGGCCAAGAGCCCAAGGCCTTCCCCTTCCTCAGGGACCTGGGCTAGGAACTGCATGGAAGTTTGTCGGCCTCAGTACGTTTGGGGCTGGGTCCTTCTCTGGGGGCACAGTGGGGCCGTTCCTGTGCCCTGTAGTATGTTGAGCAGCCTCTACCCACTAGATGCCAGTGCCTACCCACCACCAGCCAGTCTGGACAACCCAAAATAGCACCAGACGTTGCCAAACGCCTCTTGCGGGGAACAAAACCACCCCGTTTCGAACCCCTGGTGCAAACGATGGGAAATTCTCAGTGTGTTGGGGACAGAGTTGGGGCAGGGACTCCATAAAGGTGAAATGTTGTTGCCAGGGTTAGTGGCCAGGGCTCTTAACTCCTGGGAGGCTGTGTGGACCCATGAGGTCTGCCGTGTGGTTGTTGTAGCCAAATTCATTGTCATGCCAGGAAATGAGCTTGACACAGTGGTATTAAGGTGTTAAAATTCTGCGGTGAAGAGGGTGAGGGGGGCGCCTGGGTGGCTCAGTTGGTTAAGCGTCCAACTCGTTTCGGCTCAGGTCAGGACCTCAGGGTCGTGGGATCAAGCCCTGTGTCCCGCTCCCTGCTCAGCGGGGAGTCTGCTTCTCTCTCTCCCCCGGCCCCTCCCCCTGCTTGTGCTCTGTCTCTCTCAGATAAACAAAATCTTTAAAAAACTAAAATAAAATAAATCTTAAAAAAAAAAAATAAAACCGCAGGAGCGGGACGCGTTCTTTGTGTGGCCCAGGGCTTCCTCTGACACTGGTTTCATTTCGTTCTTGATGTCGATGTACTGGACAGATTTTTCTAGACAGCAGATCAGATCCATGAGACGCAGTGGCGGTGGGGGCATGAAACACCATGCCAGTGAACTTCCCACTCTCCTCAAGGTTGGCTTTGGCCAGCAACTGCAGGGGTGAGCACGGGAGCCTTGTGTCCAGAGGTAGCAGCAGTGGTGCTGAATGTGGTCATGGGTCGCCCCACCTTGCCAAATATGTCCTGGATGACCTTGGCCAGGGAGTCTACGGTGGACAGTGTCATGTGCTGTCCAGATCCTCCTTCACTGAAGGCCTTGTCTGTGCTAGGGCTGCAGTCCTCAGGCGGCCCTCGGCTGTCTGCCCCTTCGGGGATGCCTTAGCTACAGAGCGCTGCCTTGCCCGATGTCACACCCTTGCCCGGGTGCCCACATCCAGTGACTGGTCCATGCCGAGGTACAAAGCACTGGCCATCTTGGTCCCAATTCGAGAACAAACTAGCTCTAGGGGTCACAGTGGGGTTGCCACAGGCTGTTTGGGGGCCCTCGTCACAGCTAGACATTTCCCTCTGTCCGATCCTGATTCCTTCTCCATCCGTCCATAGGCGTGGATACCAAGAGAAATCTTTAATATAAGTTCTGTTCATTACATTCTATCTCAGAATCCGCTTCCCCGCGGGGAAAGCAGTCTGCAGTGTTGGGCCGCAGGTGCTGACATGGGGTGCGGGGGCTGGATCACCCACTGCCCGGTTGGCCGTGGTCACCGATGGGAATCGGTGGTAGTAGGTGGAACAGAGAAACCCCTGGTTCAAAGAGAGGGGGGCTTACAGTGTTCACATTTGCAGCAGAGGTGAGTGGGGATGGTATGCCGGTGGAAGGGGGTGCACCGGATGCTTTGTCCTATCGAGCTGGGGAAAAAAAAAAAAAACGCTAAATCCAAGAACTGGAACATAGAAAAGGAACCTCGTGCATGTGCCCCCGGGAAGATAAAACCTCAAGGCTAAGAGACTGATTTTCCTGATTTACAGAAGACTGATCGTGTTGCAATTTCCTTGGATGATGAGGTGTTGGTCAGAGGTTGTCCCATATCCACTGTGGGAAACTTTGCCAGAGGCGTGACCCAGAGGTGATGCAGGTCAGTTTGGTCTCGCAAAGCGGGCTGAATGGACCTTTGTTTGTGTGGCTGGACTGGTTCCATCTGCTCAGGGAATTTTCAGAGCTGGTGTCCTTTTGTCATTGAATGTCAGAGACCTTCGCTGAACTGCCCCCTCTTTACGTTCCCTGCCCGTCGATACAACCTACCCAAACCTGCGACCCTACTTGCCTGTAGCTTGCTACCATTTGCTTGTCCTGAATTGCAATCCCTCTGCTATTCCTGAATAAACTTGACCATTTTGAGCTTGCTTCCGTTTACTTCTTTATTTAGGGCAGCAAAGCGTTTGAGAAAAGTGGCAGAGAGAGTGAATCCTGGACAGTGGGACTGGCTGGCTATGGGTAAGCTTAATGGACGCTTTGGGGAAAGATAATAAAAAGCAGAGAGAAATTAGTTGCCAACAGAAGGCCAGATATGGGAAAGTATATGCATTCGGGACCACTCTCCTAGGCTACAGGATTGTCATCCTGACAAGGACACCAGGAGCCTGGCTCCTCTGAGCATGGAGTGTGCGAGGGGAGGAAAACCCGCTGGGGGGCCAGCAGGACACCTGAGGCCATCCCGTGAGAGGACACCAGCATCACTAGGAAGGTCAGCGTTGGCTCTCCTCTGCAGGCGGGGCAGAGCTAGGAAAACTTTTATAGATCTACATTTGATCATTCAGTCATTCAACAAACATTCACTGAGCACCTACCACGGGCCATAAAGGACTAGAACCATCAGTGGCATCAGGATCCCCATTTTATAGAAGGGAACCCTGAGGCCAGGGGGGTGGGATTCAGGGGTCTCTCTGCAGGGATCTCTCCCACCTCTACAATCCGGGCTATAGTTTTCTGTTCATTGGCTACTTTGTCCACCAGAGATTCCATGAGCACCTGCTCAGTGCCTGGCTTGGTGCTGGGTGACCGGGATGAACAGGAGAACACAGACCGATGGGAGACGGACAGACAGACCAACAGACGTCTAGAGAATGCATGATGTGGGACCAGGTCCTGGGACGCCTGCTCTGGTCCAGTTTCCATACATTTGGTTATTTATCCCATATGCATTTATGGGGCATTTACTGTGTACCAACCACTTAAGGACACAGACAGAGAGAGACAGTTCCCCTTCATCTCTGTGGGGACTGTGACACACAACACAGGCCCCTCAGCAGTCACTTGGGGGGATTCTCATGACTGCCCCACGACACTCAGATGCAGGGGACTGTTCTCCAGTTTATCAGCACACACACATACAACACACAGTTCTCTGAGAACAGTGGAGATGATAGGAGCCCCAAACGAGAGAGGCCAGGGGATGGCACTCAGCCATCAGGAGCCAGGCGGAAGCAGTCACTTAGCATGCGGTGAGGTGGGGTGCACTGGGGGCCCCTAAGTCACAGGCTGTGTGGAGATAATGAATAGAATGTGGCATCCCCAGGGGCAAAACAGATGGACCACCAACAAGGGTCCTACTCAAAGAAGCAGTTAAGGATGATCAGGAAGCTTAAGTCAGTTGCCCCAATAGAATACCACAATCCAGGGGCGCCTGGGCGGCTCAGTGGGTTAAGTGTCTGCCTTCGGCTCAGGTCATGATCTCAGGGTCCTGGGATCGAGTCCCGTGTCTGGCTCCTTGTTTGTCGGGGAGTCTGCTTCCCCCTCTCCCTCTGCCCCTCCCCCACCTCTGCTCGTGCACTCTCTCTCTCTCTCTCTCTCTCAAATAAATAAAATCTTTTTAAAAAACAAAATATCACAATCCATCCCTTGGCCATTTTGTGGATCCAGAACTGACCAGCTGAAGACGAGGCCAGGTCTCCAGGGGGAGAAACTGACCACCCCAGGGCAGGTGCACACACCCACGGTTCCCTAGTCTGTGTCCCAACGGACCTGCAGCTGCTTGGACTGTCCATGTTCCAGAAGCGCCAGAAGGGGCCACTTTCC